CTTACATACTAGAGGCCCAGTGCCTGAAATGTTTGCATGGATAGGGTCCCCTAGGCCTGGCCAGTGATCAGGGCTGATCAGGTTCCCCACCTCCTTCCCTTCCCACCCCCTCCTTCCCTCATTCCCTCAATGCCCCACCACACCGGTGGCCCACCATGTTCTGCACTGCCCCCTCATGGACAGCACACATCATAGCGAGCGATCAAACTCCCAGTCTCCTGATCAAACTCCCAAAGGGACACTTTGAATACTAGCCTTTTATATATATAGACTAGAGGCCCAATGCACGAAATTCATGCAAGAGCTGGCCTTCCCAGCCTGGGCTGCCTTGCGGCCCGGTGGCCCCACCCGCCCCCCACCCACTGGTCGTTCCAGAAGTTCGTTCCAGAAGGTTATTCTGCCATCTGGTCTAATTAGCATATTAGCTCTTTATGATATAGGATAAGCAATATAAAAAATACTGATATTTCCTGTTTTGTTTTTGTACTGTCACTGAAATCCAGTGTTTTCTGTACTTATAGTACAACACAATTCCAACTCTCCACCTTTCAAGCCCCTGTAGCTGTATCTGACTAGGACAGCGGTTCTCAACCTGTGGGTCGCAATCCCTTTGGGGGTTGAACGACCTTTTCACAGGGGTGGCTTAAGACCATCGGAAAACACATATATAATTACATATTGTTTTTGTGATTAATCACTATGCTTTAATGATGTTCAATTTGTAACAATGAAAATACATCCTGCATATCAGATATTTACATGACGATTCATAACAGTAGGTAGCAAAATTACAGTTACGAAGTAGCAACAAAAATAATTTTATGGTTGGGGGTCAACACAACATGAGGAACTGTATTAAAGGGCCGCGGCATTAGGAAGGTTGAGAACCACTGGGCTAGGAGCTATTGTATGGGACAGCATGGGTCTAGCGCAGTGATGGCGAACCTATGACACGCGTGTCAGAGGTGACACGCGAACTCATTTTCTTGGTTGATTTTTCTTTGTTAAATGGCATTTAAATATCTAAAATAAATATCAAAAATATAAGTCTTTGTTTTACTATGGTTGCAAATATAAAAAAATTTCTATATGTGACACGGCACCAGAGTTAAGTTGGAGTTTTTCAAAATGCTGACACGCCGAGCTCAAAAGGTTCGCCATCACTGGTCTAGCCTGTTAAAATATATGATGTTGCACCTTCTGTAATGTGAGGACACAGCAAGAAGGCGCTGGCTGTGAATCGGGAAGAGGGCTCCCACCCACTGTGTTGGCACCCTGGTCTTGGACTACTAGCCTCCAGAACCATGAGAAATAAATTTCTGTTGTTTGTAAACCAAAATTTTAATTAATTAAAAAATATCTATAATGTCAAACTCCAGGTCCTAATCTATGTGGATTGGATAAACTAGGTAGGTCCTGTCTGGAAATGATTGATAACCCTGGCTCGTACGGAAAATCTGAGTCACACAGGGGTGCGAGGTCTGGCCAGCAGCCTCGTCCTGCAGCCCCCAACACAGCCCCGTCAGTTTTCCATCCTAGCCCATCTCCTGCTCCTGTTCCCTGCAGCGCTGGCTGAATCCTTCCAGCAAAGTAATTTGAAGTGAGGTGCTTAACGTGGCTAATGTTTTGCCCTCACAGCTCACAGAGAAGTCCCCCGGAAAAAGAAAAGGGGGGCCTTGAAAACATCCTGTCGTCCTCTGAACACTTTACGAGACCTTTTGTCTGGGCAATCCTGGGAAACTTGGGAAACAATGGAGAGACCAGAAAATGACACTGAAAGAGAAGGCAAGGGCACCCGCTTCTCGCTGTTCCAACGTTGGGGAGCACACGCTCAAAGCAGCAAGCTTAGGACTGGGTGCCAGAAGCCACCCAGGAGACCTGAGGCCCCCCTGCCCGCTCCCTTCTCTGTGCTCTCAGAAGCTCCTGGGAGTTAGCTCCTCCCTTGCAAGTTGATCTGCCAATAAACTGGCAGAGAGAGGAGGGGGAGAGCCAAGCCTTGTCCTCAGGAACCACCCCCCTCACCCCTTCCAGGGAGACAGGAGGTAAAGCCTAGGACCTGACCCAAAGGTTTCCATCTGGCTAATGGTAAGGATTCCTGGGCTTTGCCTAGGGGGTCCCCACGCTGGGAAGGGCAGACTCACCCTCACGGCAGTGGGGACTGTGAGCTAGGGTCTGGGACTTATTCCCAGGGTGATGGAGGTCAGAGGTCAGCCAAGCTGGTGCCATCAGGAAAGGTACCCCCTAAAGGAGGCTGAGATGGGTAATCCCCAAGGCCATGCTTATTTGGGAAAATCAAAAGAAAAATTGGCCGTAACCGGTTTGGCTCAGTGGATAGAGCGTTGGCCTGGGGACTGAAAGGTCCCAGGTTCGATTCCAGTCAAGGGCATGTACCTTGGTTGCGGCACATCCCCAGTAGGGAGTGTGCAGAAGGCAGCTTATTGATGTTTCTCTCTCATCGATGTTTCTAACTCTCTATCCCTCTCCCTTCCTCTCTGTAAAAAATCAATACAATATAAAAAAAAATTGACAGTGTGGCTCAGTGATTGAGTGTTGACCTACGAACCAAGAGGTCACAGTTCCATTCCTGTTCAGGGCACATGCCTAGGTAGTGGGCTCCAACCCCAGTGGGGGGCATGCAGGAGGCAGCCGATCCATGATTCTTTCTCATCATTGATGTTTCTATCTTTCTCTCTGAAATCAATCCTATATAATAAAACCCTAATATGCGAACAACAGAAAGACCGATCGCTATGATGCACACTGACCACCAGGGGGCTCACACTCAATGCAGGAGCTGCCCCCTGGTGGTCAGTGCACTCCCACAGGGGGAGCACCACTCAGCCAGAAGCCGGGCTCACGACTGGTGAGTCCAGGGGCAGGGGCCTCTCCCGCCTCCACGGCAGCGCTAAGGACCCCTTGGGGGTCCCAGACTGCGAGAGGACGCAGGCCTGGCTGAGGGACACCCCCCCCACCCCCCAGTGCATGAATGTCATGCACCGGGCCTCTTGTAAAAATATATTATATATAAAAAAAAGAGCAGCCTCTGGAGTCAGACTGACTTTGGATCTGGCTCTACAAAAAAGAAAAGGAAGGAAGGAAGGAAGGAAGGAAGGAAGGAAGGAAGGAAGGAAGGGAGGGAGGGAGGGAGGGAGGGAGGGAGGGAGGGAGGGAGGGAGGGAGGGAGGGAGGGGGAGGGAAAGCCCAATGCAATAGTACAGATGGGAGTTCTCATTCCTTCACCTCCCGGCCCCGTCTTGACAGGTGTACCCAGTGGGACTGAAATGTGTCCTCAGCCTGCACTGGAGCGGCAAGTGCACCCACACCAGCAGATGCCTGGGCTAGAGGACATGGCAATGTGGAGGTGCAGCCTTGCCCTTGCCTACTCCTGGCCCTCACAGACTCAGCCCACCGCACCCTCCCTCCAGGGAGCTCCTTGCTGTCCCCAGGGAGTAACTAAAGACAACAGGGACTCTGGATGAGCCGTCCTCTGGGCCTGGGTCTCCAGGTTCTCCAACACCAACTGGACCGAGCCATCTCAAGTCTAACGTGGTACCTTTATTAGAAGTAATCACGCCTTAGCTCCCCCCAGAGGAGCTATTTTTGGATCTCCAGGGCTAACCTCCGAGCAGGGCTGACCCTGTCCCCGGGCTGAACTTGGCCCAGAATTTGTGGCCTGAAATTCACGGCCCCACACTCAGCCACTCAACTCCATCCAAGATCGTCCGAGGGCCTGGCCCTCAGGCATCCTGACTGCTTGTGCTCGCTTCTCTGCTCCTCGAAGGTGTGCTGAACAAGGCTGGGTCCGGTTCCATCATGGCATTGAGAAGGGTGTTCTTTGCCACTTCCTCACTCACTCCACCATATAATTTAGCCTCAGCCAACAAGTCATCTTTGTTCAAATTGCTGCTCATGCCCCTGAACAAGCCATTGGAGAACAAGTCATGAGTCATACGCTTTGGAGCTAAAAAAAGCAGCAACTCGGGGGCGGCCCCCCCTCCCCACAGCAGTGGGATGACTGGCTCTGCCTTCCTGAGAGGTGGGGCTTTCCCACACCTGCAGGTCGTGAGCCTGCGCTGGACCCTGGCCTCTAGCCTCTAGCATCGGGCCACTTCCATCTCCTGACACTAGCCGGACCCTTCCCTCTCCTGTGCCTTTGGGGTCCTACCCACCATCTTCACCACCACCATTTGCTGAGCGCTTGCCGCATGCTAGACACAGTGCCAAGCTCTATGTGGGTTTCAGCCTCCCTAAAACCCTGAGAGAGAGGAAGGCTGGGCTACATATGTTTTTAACCTGTCTGTGCCTCAGTTTCCTCACCTGTAAAACGGGGGATAGTGACAGGACCTACCATGTATGCAGTGGTGGTTAGGACAAAGTGTGAAAAGGCATGTGTAGGACAGGACCTGACACGTGATACATGTTCAATGCCTGTTAGCTATTGTGATTACTATGTTATCATTGCATTTTGCAAACGAAGAAACTCAAGGTACAGGAAGAATCTCAGCGGTCTTCGGTAACTTCCCTGTGCACATCTAGGAGGTGGTAGCAGAGATAGCAATCCAGGCCCTCGGCTCCAAAGCCTGTGTTCTTAGCGACTGTGCGGTCGCTCTGCTGCCCTGCACTCCCCTTGTCTAATGGGGCAAACTCCTATTCATCCTTCAAAGCCCAACTCACATGTCACCTCCTTGGGGAGCCTGCCTCACCTCCCCACATGAACGTTCCTCTCTCCTGGGGCTCCTAGAGGTCCTGACATCCCTCTGTCAGAGACCATTCGTGATAACTCTTTGCATGTCTATCTCCCCATAAACCCGTGGTCGGCAAACTGCGGCTCGCGAGCCACATGCGGCTCTTTGGCCCCTTGAGTGTGGCTCTTCCTAAGCCTTAGGAGTGCCCTAATTAAGTTAATAACAATGTACCTACCTATATAGTTTAAGTTTAAAACATTTGGCTCTCAAAAGAAATTTCAATCGTTGTACTGTTGATATTTGGCTCTGTTGACTCATGAGTTTGCCGACCACTGCCATAAACTATCGCTGGCTCTTACCACTGACAGCCCAACCCTGGTGATGCCAATGAGCGTCTGAGGAGAATGGTGGGGAGGAAGACAGGAGAACGAGAGAGGCAGTGACCCCTGTGGTATGAGCGGAGGACCCCGCACTATTGCTTGCAGAGAGTGATGCACTCTGTTGGCCCAAATCCCAGAAATGATGGTTCTGCCAATCACAAGTCTTCTCCAGCGGGCACTTAGGAGACCAGGGTGCCCACGAAGGGGATGGGGTAGATCCTAGTTCTTAAACAGGGACCTGAGCTGCTGAGGCCGAGAGAGCTGATCTCAGCCGGTGCCCTTCGCCCTGGGAGGGCAGGGAGCCCAGGGCATCTATAAGGTAGCGCTCAAGGCCAGGCAGGCTTCCAGGAGGTACAGAGAGGAAAGGACCTGGCCCAGGCTGGGCGGGAGAGCAGGGGCTGGGATGGGTAGAGTTGGGTGGCAGCATCAGGAGAGCGGGAAGAAGCTGTGGACACGGTGGCTCTTACGTCACAGGCCCTTTGGGCACAGGGGCAGGAATGGACAGCACTTGACATACTTTCAGAGCTTGAGAACCAGGCCCTGTGTTGGCCAAAGCCCTCACACACACCTACCTCCTTCTGTACAAGGGAAAGTGATCCAGAGTATCGGAATGGGGCAGATGTTGCGTCTCTGGAAGCATATAGAAGAGGGACAAGGACAGAATGGCTGAGATGCAGCCAATATAATTGGTGATGCTGGGGGGACTCCAGGTGATGAATGCCAGGGACACGAAGGATCCAGATGCCCAGGCCAGAGTCACCAGCCCCAGACCCGTCGTCCTGGAAGGAAAGATCAGAGCTTGTCTAAGGGGCCTCGGAGGCCCAAAGGCTGGAAGAATCAGCTCCCCCCATCCACAACCTCCAGTCTCCACCCTGTCCCCACACCCAGCGTGACCTGGGAGAGTGTAGTTCTCTGCTGGTCAAAGCAGGTAGTCATTCCTCTGGGCCTACCTCGTGGGGTCAGGAGTGGGAGAAGTAAGACCCACGCAACCCTGAGGGGGTGTGCAGGGAGAGCGTGGGTAGGAGGACACTGGGCCATCAGCGAGCTCTCCCGCGGTGAAGGGCCTGAGACTCAGCCACGGCCCAGCCGGTCCGTGCGAGGCAGACACCGGGACAGACTGCCTGGGGCCAGTGCTAGTTCTGCCACTCGCTCTGTCTGACCTTGAGCCAGTGCCTTTACCTCTTGGATTCTGTTGTCTTACGTAGGCTAAGGATGGTGTTTGGGAGCTGTTTTTGTGAGGGCTTGATGGAATAATCCATGTAAGCTGCCTGTCACCGGGTGAATGCCCAAGCTTAGCCGCTGCTGTTCATCTTGTCATTGTCCCGCCTTCTCACCCCCATGGCCTGCTCCCACCAGGCCCGTACCTGAGGATGGTAGGCAGGAGCTCGGCACCGTAGGCGAAGAACAAGGTGATCAAGGCGGTCAGGCTGATTTGTCCCACCAGGATCAACAACATCAGCGTGGTTTTCAACTCTGTAGCCAGACAATGTGACCACCTGAGTTTGGGGCAATCTTCCCATCAGGCCAGGTAGGGGAGGCCTGCCCATCAGCTCTCCCTGAACCCCTCTCAGAAGGCATCTCAACAGTCCATCCCACCGCCTGGCCAGCCCACTCAGGTGTGTGGTCAGAGGAGAGGGTCCGTCTGCGGAGGCCCAGCCAGCAGTGGGGGAGTTGCCGGTAGGATGGGAGGTCACAGCATCTACTTTGCTGGGCTCGGCCCCCACACCTGTGCCTCCAGGCAGTCTCCTGTCTTCCACATCCTCCCCCAGAAACACCCCCATCCTTAGGTGCCTTTGCAGAGGGAGAAAGGAACCAGGAAACGCCATGCCTCAGGCAGGGGAAGCCACTTGGAGCTGAGGGCTCACTACCCCTCCTCGTCAGCCTCTGCTGGATCCTGGTCCTGTCGGCCCCACTCCCCACTCTGAGCCCAGCTTTTCTTGGCCCTGGGATGAGAGCAGACATATCTAGCGGGGATTCAGTCCTAGTTTCTCTCACTGGTTGGAGAATTTTAAACATTTCTGCTTGACGCATTATAGACTCACTTAAAAAAACAAAAACAAAAACAACACCAAGCAATAGAAATTGAAAAAGGAATTTGTCTCACCATTTTGTTTTAGCCAGTCCACACTACCAACGTCTCAGAGAACGAAGGTCCCACCCAGTCAAGAGGCTCACAATTCCAACCCTCAGAGAAAGAGAGGGAGCCCCCTTGAGGCAGACCCTGGACACAGTGGCCCTAGTCCAAGCCCCAGCAGCTGAGGGGGTCCTTGTGGGCAGCAATTCTGACTGGGCGAAAACTGACATCTTAATGTCCACATCCTCAGCCCTGTCACTCTCTAGCCCTGTGAGCTGACCTGGAGGTGGTGGTGGAGGGGGGGTTTACTCATTTGCCCTAGGGCTCTTTGAAATTTTGAAAATATTGCCAGCTTCCCAAACCCCTGGCTTTCCTTCTTTAGTTCTGAGCCTATGGGACACCAGGATGCTGTGCCCCTGGGTTCAGCGGGCAGGTTCTGCTTTCCTGGTAAAGTTACAGCTAACAGGCATTTTCCAATCAGAGGCTACAGATGAGAGGCCACGCCTTGGGTAGCAGTGGAAAGATTATTTTTGCTGCATCTGTTCACTTTTTTTCCCCCTTTGTTTGCTTGTTAATCCTCACCTGAGGATATTTGCCCACTGATTCTTAGAGAGAGTGGAAGGGATGGAGAGAGAGACACAGAGAGAGAAATATCGAGGTGAGAGACACATCGATTGGTTGCCTCCATTGGGGCTGGGGATTGAGCCTGCAACCAAGGTATGTGCCCTTGACCAGAAATGAACCCATGACCCTCCAGCCTATGGGCTGACACTTAGTCTATCCACTGAGCCAAACAGGCCAGAACTGTTCACATGGTTTTTTTAAAGATTTTTAAAAAATAGATTTTTTGAGAGAGAGAGAGAAACAATGATATGAGAACAAAACATCAATCAACTGCTTCCTGCACACCTTCTATGGGGGGTTGATCCCACATATTCTGACCAGGAATCGAACCAGCAACCTTCCGGTGCACTGATGCATCTGTGCACACCCAGGGATGCATCACCTGATCTAATGTGGATTGAAATCAAGTGGAAGAAGGCTGCCCACTCTCCTGCCCACACAGGGACGATTACTCCAGACAGCTCACCCTCTCCCAGGCCTCTGAGAGCTGTGAGTGCCTGGTGTTGGGGACCCCACTGCCTAGGGAGGGCAGTGCTCTAGCGATTAGTGCCTGCTCTGGAGGTACCTGGGCCCCTGCAGAGAAGGTAGGTTGTAGGTGTAGGATGCTGACTCCCAGGCTGTCTTGTTGGAGAGACAGGGCAAGAGGCACGAGGGAGGGATTTGACAGAAGGCATGGGGAGGGGGGAGGGGGTGTACCTGAGGGGATGAAAAGAATGAGCAAGTTCAGGAAGCTGCCTTGGAAGAGAGACCCAGCCATAGTCCACTTCCTCCCAAAATGCTCAAAGAGAAAGAGGCTGCACAGCCGGGCAGGCATCCCCATCATGCCAGGAATTATCGCGCTCATCTGGTACTTCACACCAAAATCCCTCATCTTCAAGGTCAGTGTAGAATAGCTGTGACCAACACTAAACCTGGAATGAGACCGGAAGATAACTACTCAGAGAGAACGAGAGAGAGAACACACACAGATACCCTCATGCAGACGGGGCAAAATGAAGACAGAAGTGAAGGAGGGGGTGCAGGGTGGGAATGGAAGGGAGAAATACACACAGATCTGGAATCTACCGGCCACGCCCGGTCCTTAGGCCTTGCTCCCTTGCAGCCAGGCCATGCCCCATTCCTTCACCAGAGCTCCTGGCATGCACTTCTGTTTGCAGTCCCTGCTGGCCAGCCTTGGGGACTCACCACACACAGCCCATCACCAAGGTCACCTTGCGCAGTTGACTATTGTTATAGAAGTCCAGGATGGAGGCATTGGTCACATTCTTTCCAGGCACCTGTAGCTACAGGACAAACAGGACCAGCCAGAGGCAGGGCGGGGACCCCAGCTTGCTCCCACCCCTACAAGACCCACAAGGCCCTGCCCCCACAGTGCCAGCCTGGTCTCTGGTCTTCCCCTGACGGGATTTGATTTTGCTGTCACTGTTCCCTTCAAGCAGTGGGCTAGAGACACCCTCTGGGCCAAGGCCCCACCTGAAAGGATGAGGCGGGAAGAGGCCCTTCCACAACCCCCAGCCCTGCCCTACACTGGGCCCGAGGCCTCTTACCTTGTCCAACAGGCTTAAAGGAATGGTCCTCTTGTTCATGTCCGCTGCATAGCGCAGTACGTGCTTGGCCTCCTCCACCTTCCCCTTCACCAACAGCCACCGAGGGGACTCTGGGAGAATCCTGCATGGCACACCCTCCTTTATTCATCACTCCAAGATGCCCCAGACACCCAAGTGGGCCCCATCTCTGCCTCAGGGGTGGCCATCCTGTCCCAGCATGAGGTCATTCAGATAACGGAGGCCTTGAAGGTGACCGTCAACCTCAAGATGTCCTCCGTCCCTCCTTGGAAGTTCGTCCCTTCCCCTTCCTAAGCCACACACAGGTCCCGCAGCTGCTCGGTGCCACCCTGGCCATTATTTCCCCTGCCTGGCAGTGTCTTTCCTCTCAGCCACCTTGAAGAGCTCAACTACTTTCTATCTCCAGGGTCATCCTCACCTACCCAGGCACACGGAGGGCACTGTCTTCCATGCCCACACCCTTTATTAGAGCCCATCCACATCGCTGGGAGTTCAGCCCAACACTGTGAAAAAGTTGTCCCCTAAGTGGCTCCATTTTTCAGTCCCTCCTCATTCCTCAACTCCCTGTTGCTCCAGGGAAGTCAACTCAAGGTTATCAAGACCAACTTGACGAGACTCTTTTTTGTTTGCCCTCAACCCTGACCACTCCTGTCCTTGAATCTTGCCTTTTGGTTTTCTGACCGGCTCCGGCGTCCCTTTAAGGGTCTCTTCTGAGGAGGGTTAATGCTGGGGTTCCAGAGGCTCTGCCCTGGCTCTCTCTCATCTCATCCACTCACTCCGTCCCTTCGAGGATCCTTCCCAACCCTCAATCTCCAAGTCCGTCGGCCCCGGCCCCGGGCCTGCCCCGGGCCTGCCCCGGGCCTGCCCCGGGCCCACGGCTTACCAGATAAAGGAGACGAGGAATAACACGGGGGCCGTGCCCAACAGAAACAGCAACCGCCAGTTGGAAAAGCTGTAGGCAAACGCACTCAGGAAAATGAGCCCCAGGGAATAGAAGCACTGGCTCAGGATGATGGCGTGGGCCCGGTGCTCGCCCACTAGCCACTCGACAGCTGTGCGGAAGCCAAGAGGACACACCCGGGTTGGCGCGGGGTCCCTGGGGCGGCTCCTGCAGCCAGCCTTCTGAGACGCCCAGCCCCGCGTGGGACAGTTCAGACTGAGCACACATTCTCTGTCCCTCTAGGCAGCCTGAGGCGGAGGCTGCTTCCTCCGCTCCATGTGCCATTGGATGGCAACTCGGTCCTGCAGGCTCGTGGCCCCTCCCCCCCACCCCCATCATCTCAAATCCCGCCCTCCCGGTGCACACTCCCCTCCATGCACCCCGTCCGTGCAGCCTGGCCTCACTTAAAGCCATGCTGGTGATGCTGTGGCCCACCAGGGCCTGGGACACCCCGAAGCGGAAGAACAGGTACTGGTGAAAGCTGTTGACGAAAGCTGTCCCAAAGCCAAAGACGATGATCCCCACGTTCGACAGCAGGATGGAGGGGTAGCGGCCAAGCCTGGGGGCATCGAAGGAAGGCTGTGTCAAGCGCATGAACCTCCGAGTCTGGCCACAGCCCAACACTCGGGCCAGGTCCTGAACCATCCATGGGCCTCCAGAGTGTCCCCACCCTTGCCTCCCTCAGTCTGAGACTCAGCTCTGCGTGCCCATGAGGAGGAGGCAGGGGCGCCCTAGGGACCAGAAGAAACTCTGGGAGACTCACTTGTCACTTATGAACCCGAAGATGAGCGCCCCCGTCAAGAGGCCTGTCAGGAACATGGACTGCACGGCTTCCGGGGAAAATTCCTCACCGCACACCAGATCAAACTGGGGATTACACGCAGGGGTTGGCCACAGGCCTCCGCCTAGGGCCAGCCGTCTGGTTCCCGAGACGGAGTCTCCTCCCAGGGTGGGCGTTTAGGCAGAAGGGGCCTGGGACAGGGACAGGCAGCAGGCCTCAGCTGTCACCCCTGCCGTCCATCCTGCATCTGGCACACTCTGGGAGTTAGGCCTGAAGAGAGGGACCAGGGGCGGAGCCAAGATAGGGGGTAGATGGAGAGGTCCCTGTTTAAAGGCCAACATCACTAAAGACCCTTCCCCAAATGCAGATGCTGGGCTCCAGCCCAGAGGTTCAGGTTGGCAGGTCTGTGCTCTGAAGGGCCCAGGTTGCATCTGAGACTGCTTTTTTTCTCCAGTTCCCTACCTTCTGTGAGTTCAGAGGGCAGAGCCACAACTGCAGAAGCAACTCCTTGGACAGATGGCAAACCCTGCCTCTGTCCCTACCCCCAAATCCACTCTAGCTTTCTGGCTAAGATGGGCGAGGCTAGAGCTGGGAAGCAAGAATTCAAAGTTTCTGCCTCGGCCCTTCCTCTGCACGGTGACCTTGGGCCAACTGCTTCCCTTCCCTGAGACTCAGTTTCTCCACTTGTTTGGGGAGGGGTGGGGCACATCTCTGGGCCCATGCTACCGGCAACTCAGGACAAGTCGCACCTCATTGATCACTGATCGCGTCTTGCTCTCAGGATAGACCCACCCCTGGCTGCACGACTGTGTGTAGTTGAGGCCATACTTGATGATGGAATCCAAATCCCAGTTCACAGGCAGGAACATGCGGCAGGTCAGGAAGCTGCCATTTATGTCCCGGGGCAGGGTCAGATTCAGCTGCTCAGCCTCTGACAGGTTAGGGCCCACGGCCAGAATCCAGCTGGTGTTGCAATAGGCCTTCTGCTCTGCGGCCACGAGGAGGTCAGCGTACATGAACACGACCGCCAGGAGGTTGGGGATGAAGGACAGGGCCACCAGCCTTCGCTGGAAGGGGCCAAACTTCCCCATCGCTTCCATGATACTGGCAAACTTGTCACCCTGGTTGCTCTCTATGGACCTCAACCTGCGTAACAACAAGTCCAGAGACCAGGAACGGGGTTGTTCTGCTGCCATATGCTGGGGTAAGTCCCTGTAAGAGGACCGGGGTTGGAGCTCCACTGAATTGTCTTCATGTGTCATCTGTTCAGAGAAAGGATGCAGCTCAGTGTCTACCAACCAGAAGTCAGGGGCTGGCGTGGAGCCACTGACTTGAAATTGGCCTGTCTTAGAACAATTTGGATTCCAACCTTGATGTTCTCTGTAGCTCCCCCCTTTGCTTCTGAAGTTTCTTAGTTAATTTGTCCCCCACTGGCCCGCCCATTCCTATTTCTTGAATGTTTTAGACAATGTCCTGCTAAGTGCTGAGTTCTCCGACAATTTCCCTGCTGCTGAAACTTAGTTTACACACACACACACACCAAGGCACTACCAGTCTTGCAAAAGTAGAGTTCTCCAGGGAACATTGTTTCAAGAAAACAGCACCAAAAACACCTCCCAAATCTGGATCAGGAGTGGCCAGGAACTAAGGCCACAGAGATGGAGCTGATGCAGTGAGGCACCAAAATAGCAGGGTGAGCCCAGCCAGCGTGACTCAGTGGTTGAGAGTTGACCTATGAACCAGGAGGTCACGGTTCAATTCCCAGTCAGGGCACATGCCTGGGTTGTGGGTTCGAGGAGTGTAGGAGGCAGCCAATGAATGATTCTTTCTCATCATTAACTAGAGGCCCAGTGCACGACATTTGGGTACTGGGGTTGGGGGGTGTCCCTCAGCCCAGCCTGCACCCTCTAGCAGTCCGGGACCTCAGGGAGTGGGCCTAAGCCAGCAGTCAGACATCCCCTGAGGGGTCCTTAGCGCTGCAGCCACCGCTGCTGTGCTCGCCAGCCATGAGCCCAGCTTCTGACTGAGCGGCGCTGCCCCTGTGGGAGCGCACTGACCACCAGGGGGCAGCTCCTGCATTGAGTGTCTGCCCCCTGGTGGTCAGTGCATATCATAGCCACTGGTTGTTCTCCTGTTTGGTCAATTTGCATATTAGCCTTTTACTATATAGGATGTTTCTATCTCCCTCTCCCTTCCTCTCTGAAATCAATAAAAATATATTTTAATATGTGCAAAGATACCCATTAGGGTGGCTAATACTTTTAAAAAAAACACACCAGAAAACAGCAAGTGTTATTGAGGAAGTGGAGAAATTGGAACCCTTGTACAGTGCCGCTGGGAATGTAAAAGGGCAGCCAAGGAATGCAGGCAGCTCTAGCAGCTGGAAAGGGTAGGAGAACGAATGCTCCCCAGGAGCCTCCAGGAAAGAACGCAGTCCTGCTGACTGACGCCATGCCCCATGCCCAGTGAGGCCCATTTTGGACTTCCGCCTTCCAGAGCTGCGATGTAATACATGTGTGTTGTTTTGAGCCACTAAATTTGTGGTCATTTGTTACAGCAGCATAAGGAAACTAATACGGTGCATACATGTGTAAGGTTGGAGGGGGGCAGAGGTGGATGGAGGAGGCTTCCCAGGGAGGGCACTTTGCTTTGCCCACAGATCTCTGGCTTTGAGGAGCCAGCTGTCCCCACCTTGCCCTCGGGGTTCCCTTCAGTGTCCCCCAGCATCACCTGAATGCCCATGGGGCTCTTGACAGTCAGCAAGGCCCTGGAGCACTTGCTCCCTCTACTGACCCCACAGGTCGCCTGCCAGGTGGACAGGCCCAAGGTAATTGATTCTCAATGTACAAAAGAGGAAAGTGAGCCCTGGCCAGTGTTCTCAGTGGTTAGAGGATCGGCCCAAACACTGAAGGGTCTCAGGTTCGATTCCCGGTCAAGGGCACCTACCTGGGTTGCAGGTTTGATCCCCAGCCCCATTTCAGGGTGCATGCAGGAAGCAACCAATCTATGACTCTCTCTCACATCAATGCTCTCTCTCTCTCCCCGCCCTCTTCCCTCCTTCCCTCCTACTCTCTCTAAAAAAAAACACACACACACAAAAAATCAATAGAAAAAATATCCTTGGGTGAGGAGTAACAACAGAAAAAGGGGAAACTGAGGCCTGGGAAATAAACATATAGCCAGAAGCAATGCTCCATCTGAGGCAGGAAATGGCCAGATGCCACCCCAAACCCACACTTCCCGTGAGGGCAGCCTGCTCCTTTCACAGACTCCACACAGTCGAGCGGTCCTGGCAGGCTCCTGTCCACATCTGTGCTGAGAATACGGGCCCACACTTGCCAGGTGTCATCAAAACTGCCACCCTCCCCGTCCCGCCTCCCTGGAGACGGAACCACAAACCAAAGCCAGGACCCACCTCAGCATACTCCAGGCCTAGCCAGGTGGTTGGCAGCAGAACCTTTGGGTTCCAATGGTGGCCAGGAAGTAGTGTCACAATGGGGCAGGGGGTGGGGTAGGCATGGTGAGGAGCGGCATTCTACTCCAGGGGCATAGCTGGCCACAGACCCCAGGGAGAGACTGGGGCAAGGCAGGTGGGAAAGTCTCCACATGAGCCAGCTCCAGGCCTTTGTGCAGACTGTTCCCGGCTCCTGGAGCCCCTGCCCTCCCCTTAAAGGTCCCACCTCCACTGAGGGAAGATCTTCCATCTGTCCAGACACAACTCACCTGTCCTCAGTCCCCAGGCCTACGGTGGGGGAGGGAGGAGAGGCAGAGGGGGGATAGGACCCCCTTCAGCTGCTCCCAGATCTGGGGGCAGCGGTGAGCGCCGAGCCTCGGGCCTGGCCCCCTAGCAGCTCTGTGCAGGGCAGTTCTTCCACTGCCACCGGAGGGAGGGGAGAGCGCGGAGGTGGAAGACTGGTGGTGAGAAGTCTGGGAGCTGCCATAGGATGGCTTCTCCTTCTCTGGAAGGAGGAGAGGCTGTTAGGAGGCAGAATGAAGGGATGCAGATGGGAGGTTAGAAAAAGCCATTGGTGAGCCCGGCCGGCACGGCTCAGTGGTTGAGCGTTGACCTATGAACCAGTAGGTCACGGTTCAATTCCGGGTCAGGGCACATGCCCCGGTTGCAGGCTCAATCCCCAGTAGGGGGTGTGCAGGAGACAGCTGATCAATGTTTCTCATCATTGATGTTTCTATCTCTCCCTTTTCTTTCCTCTCTAAAATCAATAAATAATAAAAGCTTAATATGCAAATTGACCAAACTGTGAAACTACTGGTCGCAATGAGGCGTACTGACCATGAGGGGGCAGGCGCTCAATGCAGGAGCTGCCCCCAGCCTGCTGGCCCCAGGCCAGCCAAGGCAGGTGCCAGTGGGGCCCCCAATTGCCCCTCTGGTTGCCCTGGCAGAAGGAGGTGACAGGCAGCGGCAGCAGGGAGATTGTGGGGCGGGGCTGGCTGGCAAGCAGGTGGCGCCAGGCTGGCCAAGGCAGGTGCCAGTGGGGCTCCCCCCCGCCCCAATTGCCACACAGATTGCTCCACAGATCAGCCCTGATCTGCTGGTCAGGCCTAGGGACCCTACCCATGCACGAATTTCATGCATCAGGCCTCTAGTATCTACACTAATAAAAGAGAAACATGCAAATTGGTGTCACTCCGCTATGCCCACCAGCCAATCAGGATGAGTATGCAAATTAACCCAACAAAGATGGCAGTTAATTTGCATATGCAGGCACGAGGAGCGAAGACTGAAGACTGAAGACAACTGAAGACTGAAGAGGCGTGGCTTCTCCACTGCGGCTGGAGCAAAGGCCTGGGTCCCGGGTGCCAGAGGAAAACTGGTGCTGGCAGCCAGGGGAAGGAAGGCCTATTGCACAAATCTCTTCATGCAACAGGCCTCTAATATATATATATATATATATATATATATAATAAAAGTGTAATATGCAAATCGACCAAACGGCCAAACAGTGGAACGGCTATCTGGACAACCATCCGGGACCATGCTATGACACCCACTGGTGCCAGGCCAGCCAAGGCGGGTGCGATGCGATTGGTCGGGGGCCCGGCCATTGCCCCACAGAGAGAGGCCCAGGCCACAGGCTGGCAGGGCAATCAATTGGGGGGCTCCATGATCGCCCCAAAGAGGGAGGCCCAGGTCACTGACCAGTGGGCTGTGGCAGGTGGGTAGGGTCTCCCTCTGTGAGGGAAGCCCAGGTCCTGGGTACCAGAGGGAAGCTGGTGCCAGAAGCTGGGGGAAGGAAGGCCTACTCTTGCATGAATTTCATGCATTGGGCCTCTAGTGTGTGTGTGTATATATATATATATATATATATATATATATATATATATGAAAAGAAAAAGCCACTGGTGAGAGTTGGAAAACAAGCTGATTAGAAAAAGCTGGTGGGAAAGCTGGGTGCAGTAAAAGGCCCAGTTGAGGCTGATGACTAGCAGCTCATTCACCGAAAAGACGTGGCGGCAGTGCCCTGCAGTGCCCTGCAGTGCCCAGCAGTCTAGGGTGCAGGGAGAGAAAAGGCAGATGTTTGGGCTCTTTAGCTGCTGTGGTTTTGCAAATTGGGGCACAACTAAAGGGTGAAAAGGATAACGTACAGGATGCTGGCAACAGAGAGAAATGATGTCTATCTCTCCATAGAAATGAAAATGATGGCTTACATCCTCAAATCTGAGGACAGAGGTGGGGAGGCAGAACAAGGTCTACAGACCACAGGGCCCAGTGGATGGTGTTATAGACAATGTGTCCTCCCCCAGTCCCCCACATTTCCATGTTGAAGCCCTAAACCCCAGTGATAGGTAAAGATGGGCCTTGGGGCCCTAACAGGTTTGGCTCAGTGGACAGAGCATCGGCCTGCAGACTCAAGGGTCCCAGGTTCGATTCTGGTCAAGGACATGTACCTGGGTTGCGGGCACATCCCCAGTAGGGAGTGTGCAGGAGGCAGCTGATCGGTGTTTCTCTCTCATCGATGTTTCTCTCTATCCCTCTCCCTTCCTCTCTGTAAAAAAATCAATAAAATATATATAAAAAAAAAAAAAAGATGGGCCTTGGGGAGGTAATTTGGGTTAGATGAGGTCATGAAGGCGGGCCTTCCTGATGAGATTAGTGGCTTTCTAGGAAGGAGAGAGATCTCGCACCCTCCATCCACACACAGAGGACAGACCATGTGAAGGCAGCACAAGAAGGTGGCTGCCTGCAAGCCAAGAAGAGGGCCCTCATCAGAACCTGCCGCTGCTGGCACCCTGATCTTGGACTTCCAGCCTCCAGGACTGTGAGAAAATAAATTACTGTTGAAAGCCACCCACCTATGGCACTGGGTAAACTTAAGGCCAGGTCGGTGGGTTGGACTCGGTGAGGACAGTGTCAAAGTAGAGGAGGTGGCAGGGGAAGTGCGGGTGCCTTAGCCTTTGACAGTGACATAGGAAACACAAGATGCACAGCACAGGGCTCAATCTCAGGGGTCTCTCTGAGGAGGGCAGGCACTAAGCCTGGTGGCCAGGGGGCTCCTCCTGGGCAGAAGCCAAGGAAACCGAGACGC